TGCCGGAAATCCACATAACCAGCTATTTATTACGCTCATCGGAGATTTCGCACATGACACAACGTGATTGAATATATCACAGTGCCAATTACATGTTGAGATTTTCTACGCCGTGTGAATGAACTCACAATGAACTCACATCGTGAATGCACTCACAATGAACTCACATGTAATGAATGAACTCACACGTGAAAAACACAAAGTAACTGAGCCATTGTTTGCCTAAAAATGCGCCCCAATTGTTGCATGGTTAGGCAAGCAATGGCTCAGTACTTTGTTCGACTATCTCGACCCATTTTATTTATAACTTTCACTCAGTGAGTTTACTATATATAAATTTTACTATATACAGGAATTTTATATTCGACGCGCATAATCACAAAGCGCTGACCATCCACTCGATGCATTTTCTTTCTATCACACGTACCAGTTAACTTTCTCGATGCATACACTTACGTAGCATGATGTCGCTGGGAGCTGTGATGGGGCCGGCCGCAGTAGCCGATATAGGACAGTGCTACTGGCTTGCTTGCCCAAACTTGTTCTGCTTCACAAGCGTTTCATGTTGCTGCTGACAACAATCGCTAATGCGCTGCCTACATGGGCGCGCATTCTCCGCCGTACCTGTGACTGTAATATACACACACGTGCGACGTCGGCTAGTTAATATAAGTTAGTTAATAAACTCTGATACGCCATATTTTCGCGTAGAGACATTTTTCGCGAATTCAGACTTGTGAAAGACAATTTCGCGAGTGTGAATTGCTGAATTATTCGGTATTATTCGGTATGAATTATTCGCGTGCTGCTTATTTTTCGCGCGTCGGGTACGCATTCGGCAAAATTCTGCCGAAAATTAAAAACCACCGCGAAATATACCAGCGTATACAGTATATGAATCCTCGGAAATGTGCTCAGCAATATTCACACGTTTCATATCTCTGCGCACTGTATTGCTATAACGAGGCTCTCGTGATAGTAGGGGCCGAGAGGGCTCTATGTCCCCGGGGTACTGCGAACGTACCTGGGTACGCCTCGGTTAGACCTGGAACGTTAGGCCTATCCTGGTACTATCTATATGCCGATACCGTAACCTTCGCCTTACTCCACTAACGAGTCGAGGGAGTTCGCCTACGCCTACTCCCTAACTCGAACCGAACCCGTACCCTAATCCTAACCCTAACCTCTAAATTCCTAACCTAACCATATCAAATAGTGACCAGGGTACGTTCCGGTTACCGGACCGTTACCCAGGGTACGTTCGGCGTACCCTGGGCGGACATAGACCCTATGAGCGAGAGTTGAGGCCTACATTCCTATTTTGGACTTGCTAAACTTTATATGATACCATTCAGTAGATTTGCCTTTAATAGTTCACGCTTCAATAGCTCACCCTCTAATAGCTCATCATATAATATTCACAGCTTTTACATACTATCAACATTTAATTATACCTTTATATATCGCGTAGATCACTTAACAGTGGGTAC